CCGTCTAGCTACTGCCATCTGCACTGTGCTTGCTGCAGACCTGCCCACTGCAGCTTCACAGGAAAGTCACAGATACACCAACGATGGGAAAGAGGGAAAAGGTTAGGCAGAAAAGGAAACTGGGCTGGACAAGCTTCCTGTATTCCTGTCGAGAAAATGTTGGCCCATTCTCCCCAGCACGCACGGTCAAAGAACAGGCAAAGGAGAAGATAAAAGTTTGCAACAGCCTCTAGGGCCCATTTCCCAGCCCCACCAGGTGATGTTGGGGATTCAAAGAGATCCCTATGGCACCCATATGGAGGATGAGCCCGGATTGTCTTAGAAGAGAGGCTGCTGTAGAACAGGACAGCATATTGTTTGCTCTTTTGCCCCGTGAGTGGGCTGTTTGCCCATATTCTCTTGGGCCTTGAAACTGGAAAAGTTCCTGGCTGCATGACCTTGGGCACAGCTCTCCCTCTCTCTTTTTGGGGCCATGGGGTCCTGATCAGGCAAACAGCAGAATCAGGTGATCACTGACTGTATGGCCCCAGGAAGAGAGAGTTGGGGTGGAGAAAGGGATCACTGTTCTGCCATTGGGTGCTGTCCTTACATCTCACTAGCAGCAGGTCTGGCCCAGGTATATTTGCTCTGAGACCATCACCTCTGCACCTGTCCCTGTAAAATGGAGGTCCTATGACTGCACAGGGCAGTGGGACCAGTGTGTATGAGACAGTGCCTGGCTGTGTTCAGTACCCAGGATTACTGTTCCTTAAGACTTCTTTTTTCATAGTATGAGTAAAGGGCAGCTTGACAATACACTCCTCTCTGAATGGGGGTCATTTCAAGAGGCACTGGGTGCGAGGGGGCTGGGGCGGGGCTCCCTTCCCTGATACTCTCAAGGGTCAGTTAATGAGCCAGCATGTGTGTGGAGTGGGTGTAGCTGGGGAGGTGGTGGCTGTGGGTCATAGGCCCTCAATCACAACTGGAGGAAGGGATTCAGGAAGTACTCACAGCTGCTCTGGCATCTCAGAGCCAAATTCCAGGCAGCACCAACAAAAACACTGCAGGTTTTGGAGGAAGAGCCATGGCCACCTGGGGTGGTCACCAGACAGGGGGTCTACAGCTCCAGATACAGTCAGGGATGGCACTACTGGAGTCCAGGGTAAGTCTTCACAGCACCCCATGTGAGTAATGGACCCAGGTTGGCAGCAAACAGGGGTGGGGCATATAGAAAAGCAAAAGGGCCCTGTGACTCAAGGGGTTGGAGGAGGTCCTTCTGCATATACACCACGTCACAACCCTGCACGGAAAATGAGGTCAAGTACAACCGACTCTCGCTCTTCTACCTCCCTTCCTGCAGGCCCCTGTGTGCACCTCCCTCCCCCGAACCTCACCTTCACTTTTCCGGGAGCTGGCATGTATCTTTCTCCACACCTGCCTCCCAGCCTAGGTGCAGGGCTTGAGAAGGCAGCAGAGAGGCCACTTGCTGACCCTGGGTCCTTCCCAGGGAGGAGCCAGAATCTTCCTAGGTCCTCCTAGGGGGGAGGAATTTTGTATAGTTGCTGCTTTTTTTTTTTTCTTCAGGCGTTGCTCCTGGGCCTGGCTTCCGTCTTAGCAACATTTTCTGCCCCTCCTTCCCTTGCCTCTTCCATGTCCAGGGAATCATTTGCTTACATCTTTCCTGATGGTGCTTCTAGCAGCTGCCAGTAGAGCTGAGCACAGCCCTTGGAGGTCTGACCTGAGGTTAAAACTAGACCGAAGGTCATCTGATTGTAGCAGAACGGTTTGGCGGACTACGGTGGCACAGTTCAAGGCCTCAGACTGCAGTCTTAGAAGGCGGCGGAGGAGAAGCAATCCGGCGTAGAGCAGCTCGCTCGTGGACGCCAACAACCTCAGCTTCTGATGGGACACTAAGGCTGAGAGACCACCCACAGTGTTCGGTGTGACGAGTGCCACTCAGAAATCATGGAGACAGCAGTGATTGGGATGGTGGCAGTGCTGTTTGTCATCACCATGGCCATTACCTGCATCCTCTGCTACTTCAGCTATGACTCACAGACCCAAGACCCAGCGAGCGGCCCCAGACGTAGCTTCACCGTGGCCACATTTCACCAGGAGGCGTCGCTCTTCACAAGGCCGGCTCTCCAATCCCGGCCACTGCCCAGGGCCCAGAACTTCTGGACTGTCATGTGAGGTTGGCAGTCCCTCGGCATTTATTCTGCCAGAGGGTCAGACCCATTTACCCCTTCAATAAGCAGTGTCTGGTGACCCACTCCTCCCAGGTCTCCATCCTTATCCTACGTACCACAAACTTCTTACCTCCCCCCATTTTGGGTTTGCTCTGCCCTCTATCCTGGGGGAGCTGAGGTGTTTGGGACCAGGTGTGAGTTACCTCTAAGCTGAGCCATCAGCTTGGCCCTACTTACAGTGGGGCTGAGGAGTCTGAGGTGATGTGGATGGATACTGTGTGTTATTCTATAGTGGGGTGGCTCCAGCCAGCTATAGAACCTCACAATGTCAGCAGGGTGCTGTGACGGAAGTCTATTTGCCGCCCAAGGAACCAGAGCCCTCAAGTGGACAGTTTGAAGAGCTACACGTTTGTTAGTATTTTTGGATGCTGCGCAGTGCCCAATCCTTAGTCTTGATCCTGTTGCCTGAAATCAGCCCTGAAATTCTGAAAACGAAGAGCTGTTTTCTGGGAACAAGTGACTTATTTTATAATTGAGGACGTATATCCTTTTATGGATCTTTCCAAATCTGCTCTGGAAAACCACAAAAGGAAGCAGAATAGAGAAGCGAGTCACAGAAAGCACAAGGTGTTTCATTAACAGGAAGGCCACCAAGAAGACTTTTAAACACGTTTTGAACAAGACTTGCTTTGTTGCTACAGTCCGACAGACTGTGTCTATTCTTAGCAAATGTGAGTGATTTGCGTCACTTAGGAATGATAGAAAAATCGTGAACTGAAAGATAATTCCAAAAAAAGTTAAAATATTGTTACATTTCAGCTCATGTGAAGAAGCTGTTGATTTTAACACAAATAAAGGGACATTTGTTTTTATTAATAGAAAATCTGTTCACGGAATAGATGCCATGTCGTATTTAAAGACTATGATCTGAAGGATGGAAAAGTTAGCTTCCTGGCTTGTATGTCTGCATCTAACCTTGAATGGGTGACTCTCAGGACCTGCCTGTTGAGGGGACAAGACTGGACAAGGGTCCTCTGGGATGTAAGGGTATCCAGACATGTGGCTGCCACAGGAAGGATCCAGAGAGACAGCTTGGGTCTGGTGAGATATGGGGGTAGGGGGTGGCAGGGAAGAAGTACAGGATGGGAGTCGGGCTGTTAGCTGGGAGTGGAGTGAATCTGGGGAGGTTGAGGCTCAGGAGGTAGAAGCTTCTGGAAACATGTCCATCTTGGTATCCATCTGGATACCAAGTCTCTGATTAGGGCTTTTACAGATAGGCCAGAAGGGAGGCCAGAGAGTCCTGGGACTTAGTGAAGGGACTCACAGCAGGTGGAAAGAGTCAGTGTGGGGCTGACACTGGCTAGAGATGAGCATCTGAAAGCACTGCCTAAGGGGAAGCAGCCAGACTGAGGCAGAGCCCTGCCACCCTCACTCCTGACCCTCACTGCGGCTCCCCCTGAGAGCTGACTTACCAGGGGTTTGTCTTCCTCAGGCAGAGTTCTGCCCTGAAGCAGGCTCTGAAGATCCTCCTTGAAAGGAATCTTGCCAGCATATCTCCACAGGAACTCAGCAGAACCTTCTTCCACAACATCTAGACTCCTTGGTGATGGGTGAGTCTCCAGACACAATGAAGCACCTGAGCACAAGTGTGTGTGTGTGTGTATGTGTGTGTGTGTCCTTCCCAAGTTGCTTTTGCTTATGTGTTTATCACACCAATAGATACCCTAAATATGTCATGATCCATCCATCTACTCACCCAACCAACCACATACTCACTCACCCATGTAACCGTGCCTTCCTTTCCTTACCCATGCACTTCATTCATTCATTCCTTTATCCAGCCACCTGTCCTCCATTCGGTGAGCATTGACAGAGCTCTGCTGTGTTCCAGATCCTGCTCAGAGAAGGTGAGAGTCAGTCAGACCTGGTCCCAGCTCAGGGAACACCTGACAGAGCAGAGACAATATGCTTTGGGTGTTGGGGTGGAGATAGAGAGAGAGGTGGGAGCCCAGGAGATTTGGGAGGAAGAAGAAGAGGAGGAGAAAGAAGAGGAAGAAGAGGAGGAAGAGAAGGTCCCTTAGCCAGAATGGAAGCAGAAAAGAGTCTTCAATGAGCAGATCCAAGAAGGCATTGGTACAGAGAACCTGTGGGGCAGGAAGAACAGCAGCTGGGCCTGGCCTGGAGGAGATGAGGCTGGACACCAGTCGTCTCCCAAGGGAAGCTTATTCCCAGGCAGTGGGTGCTAAATATAGTACTGAACAGGTAGCCTTGTTTTTTTTTTTTTTTGGGCTGAGCAGACCAAGGGTCCAGGCACAAATGAGGGCGTGGCTACCTGCTTTTGATGCAGTGATGAGGTGGGTCTGAGTGTTGGGCATAGGCCCCAGGCCCTCAGGACTGTGGAGGTGGGTCTGAGGGCAGGGAGATGCAGCCTAGAAGAGTAGGACTCCTAAAAATGAAGGCGGTCTTTCCTGGGGCACTCTATCAAAGGGCTAAAAGGTGTAACAGGGGCAGGAGATGGGGAGAACACAGACTAGAGACTCTGGGGAGTAGACTCTCTAAAAACAGAAGAGCACCAGATAAGCTGGAGTTTCATGTAGGTGATGAGTAATTTCTAGTTTGACTGCATTTCATGAAATAGTTGGAACATACATTGAAACATTCATTGTCTATGTAAGATCAAGTGTTACGGGGCATCCTGCATTTTATCTAGTAGCCCTACTGGGACAGGGGCAGTCTGAGAGGCTGGGTAACTGGTTAAAGACAGCAGAGGGCTGTCAGAGGAGAGGATAGAGAGGAGCCCCCTAAATTTTGCAACACAAGGGCTGACAATGACACTGGTGAGGAGAGTGGACGGCCACTTTGCAGGCTATGATGTGTGCATGGTTTGTGTATGTGCATGTGTGTGTGTGTGTGTGTGTGTATACGTGCATGTGTGTGTGTGTATGTGCATGTGCATGTGTGTGCATGTGTGTGTATGTGCATGTGCGTGTGTGCGCATGTGTGTGTGTTGTGTTGTAGGTGTCTGGTGTGCAGTATGTATATGGTCATGATATGTGGCATGTATAATGTGTACAGTGCCTGTGTAGTATATGTGGAGTCTTAGGGTTTCTATCGTGATAGAACACTGTGACCAAAGCAACTCGGGGAGGAAAGGGTTCATTTGGCTCATGTTTCCACAGCACTGTTCATCACCAAAAGAAGTCAGCACAGGAACTCACACAGGGCAGGAGCCTGGAGACAGGAGCTGATGCAGACGTCATGGAGGGGTGCTGCTTACTGCATTGCTTCCCCTGGCTTGCTCACCCTGCTTCCTTTTAGAACCTAGGACCACCAGCCCAGAAATGGCCCCACCCACAATGGGCAGGGCCCTCCCACTTCGATCACTAATTTAAAAACTGCTCTACAGGCTTGCCTACGGCCCAACTCATTATTTTTTTTTTAAACTTTTTATCGATTCTTTAATTAATTTCACACGGTGGGCCCCAGTTTCCTCTCTCTGTATCTGCCTTCTGCCCTTGCCACCTCCCCTACCAAAGAAAACAAAAATCAAAAACAGAAAATGAAAATAAAGACATTAAAAAAAAAACCTCATTTACCTGTGGAGGCTTCAGTGTGTCACACAGTGTCCCCTTTTGCCCAAACAGCTTTACTTGCAGATATTCCTTGCAATGCATCCTTGATCTGCCTCGAGGCTACACTGTCAATACTGGGTCCTCACTGGGACTCCTCTCCGATATCCTGTTGTTGCCCCGTGTCATAGACAGCCTGCAGCTTTGGGTCTGCAGGACTGACCCCTTCATGTGCTCCAGCCGGGTTAGGACAACTCAAAGCCGTGGATCTGGGCCTGGGTGCTCACTGAGTTGTTCAGCTTTCAAGCTCTCCCATGTCCATAGCAGCAGGGCCAGCTCTCCCACACTGCCCAGGCAGGGGGGAAAGCAGGGGGAAGGCATTTCTCCTATGTCCACACCACCACAAGGTCAATTAGGGACAGGGTCTGCTCTCCTGCACTCAGGCCACCAGGGCCAGCTCTACTGTGATGCTCAGGTGAGGTGGGGGCTGCTTTCCTTAGTGCTGCAGCTGGCCAGGGGCAGGGCCAGCTCTTTGCAGCCCTTGGCAGCAGCCCAGACCAGGGATGTCTGAATGGCTTTTGGTGGTAACAAGGGCTATGGACATGGACCTAGACAGGACCCTCAGTGACAGCCCAGGCTGGGACCTCACTGTGGCCTCAAGTGGAAGTGAAGGCCTCTAACATCAGGCTTTTCCTCACCACAGTGGAGTCTCCGGTTCCTCCTCTCTTCATGGTGCACAAACTGCTTCTCTTTCTCTCCCACCACATGCATGCTCATTGTTGTGGTGCCTCTGACAGCCCAGTCTTACAGAGGGAATTTCTCAGTTGGCATTCCCTCCTCTCAGATGATTCTAGCTTGACTCAAGTTGACATAAAGTTTGCTAGCACATGTGGTCTGTGTATAGTGTATGATGTATGTACTGAGGGGTGGGTTATACAGGGTATACAGGATGTGCGTATGTGGAGTGTATTTTGTATATGTGTTATGAGTGTGTGTGTGGTCTGAGTCTGTGTGATATATTGTGTGTGTCGTCTGTGTTTGGCATGTGTGTGTGGTTTCACTGTGGGTGGTGTGTTGTGTTTGAATGCTGTGTTGTGTGTCTTGTATGTGTGGCATTTGTGTGCTGTATGAGGGTTGTGGTCTGTCATTCTCCCTGGTGTTGCCTGCTGCATAGGAAGAGAGACAGGCCCAGCACCAGCTGGCAGGGAGCTCCCTTACTGCCAAAGGCAGTCCTTTGCCCACCATCCCCAAGAGAGGAGGTAGCATTACCAGAATAAGAGAATGGCATCCAAATCTAGCAAATTGGGGAGTGTTTGGCTGGTGGCAGAGAGAGAAGCAGCTGCTTCAGGTCAGCCTGGCAATGTGGGGCCAAGTCACTCTGGCCACCCAGCCCTCCCAGTTCCAAATCTGGTGCGTTTTCTACTTGTTCCATAGC